CGGGGGATTTTAGCTATGAAGAAAGGTTGGATAGATTGGGGTGGTTTTCACTTGGATGCAGAAGGTTGAGGGATGAATTGATAGAAGTTTAAAAGATTGTGGATGGCATGGATAGAATGGAAAGTATGAGGCTTTCTCCCAGGTGGAGGAGTCAATTACTAGGGGACACAGGTTCAAGGTGTGAGGGGGGTATGTTTAAAAGACACAAAGGGTGGTGAGTGCCTGGAACACGCCCCGTAGGAGGTGGTGGGAGCAGACACAATAGCAGCATTCAAGAAGCACCTGGATGAACACATGAATAAGAAGGTAATAGAGGGATACGGGGATCCTGTAAGTGAAGACAGTTTTAGTATGGAAAGGCAAAATGTGTCGGCGCAGGCTTGGAGGGTTGAATGGCCAGTCCTGTGCTGTACTGTTCAGTCTCCTTATGAAGTTGAACACCTCAAGTAATCTCAGTTTTCTCTTCTTTGAGGAGAAACAGTCCCAACTTCTCTAATCTATCCACACACCTCCAGATCCTTACCTCTTGTGAATCTTCGCTGCACTATCTTTACAGAGAGGTGTACAGTGCATAAAAAGACACAACATACCACCTGGGGCAGAATCAGTACTTTTAAATATAAGATCTTTCCTTGCTTTTCCACTCTCTGCCTCTATTTGTGAAGCCTAGAACACCTATAATGACTGTGGCACATCTATACCCAGATCCCTCTGCTTCTCATCCCCTTTAGAATGGTGCCCTTTATTTTATATTGTCACAGTATGCTCTTCTTAACAAAACTAATCACTTTTTTTGCATTAAATTTCACTTGTCTTGGTGAAATTACTATAACTAGGGAGAAGTAAACTGCTGGGTTTAAAGGCAGATAAGTCCCCAGAACCTGATGGCCAGCACCCTAAGATATTAAAGGATATGGCAGCAGAGATAGTGGATGCATTAGTTATAGTTTTCTAAAATTCCTTGGATTCTGGAAAGGTACCAGTAGATTGGAAACATGCTAATGTGACACCTTTATTCAAAAAAGGAGACAGGAAAAAAGTGGGAAATTATAGATCAGTTAGTTTGATACTCTATACTGGTCAATCATAAAGGGGGAGATAATAGAACACTTGAAAAAACAAAGCTCAATTCACCAAAGTCAGCATGGTTTCATGAAGGGCAAGTCGTGCTTGACAAACTTGCTGGAGTTCTTTGAGCATGTAAACAGTGAGGTGAATAATGGAGAACCGGTGGATGTTGAATATTTAGACTTCCAGAAGGCATTTGACAAGCTCCTAAAAGACTGATCCAGAAGGTTAGATCCAAGGTGGTTAAGAGTAGAGTACTGGCTTGGATAGAGGATTGGCTGACCGACAGAAAGCAAAGGGTTGGTATAATGGGTCCTTCTCTGGATGGCAAACTGTCACTAGTGGGGTGCCACAGGGTTGAGTTCTCGGACCTCAACTATTTACAATCTATATAAATGAATTCAACCTTTTCCCAGGGCGGAAATGACTATTACGAGGGGTCATAATTTTAAGGTGATTGGAGGAAGGTATAGGGGAGATGTCAGAGGTAGGTTCTTTACACAGAGAGTGGTGGACGTGTGGAATGCGATGCCGGCAGTGTTAGTGGAGTCAGATACTTTAAAGACTTTTAAGCGACTCTTGGATAGGCACATGGATGATAGAATAATGTAGGGTACGCAGGATAGTTTGATCTTAGTAGGATAATAGGTCGGCACAACATCGTGGGCCGAAGGCCTTGTACTGTGCTGTACTGTTCTATGTTCTATGTTCAGTGGCAGAGTCTAACATTGCAAATTTCGTGGATGATACTAAAATAAGTGGCAAAGCAGGCTGTGATGAGGAGATGAAGAGTTTACAATGATATTGATAGGCTAGGAAAAAGGGCCAGAATCTGGCAGGTGGAGTTTAATGTGGATAAGTGCAAAGTTGTCCATTTTGGCAGGAAAAGTCAAGGGTCAAATTATTATTTAAATGGTAAGCAGATTCCAAGTGTGTCAGTGCAGAGGGAGCTAGGTATCCTTGTGCATGAATTGCAGAAAATGGGTATGTAGATGCAGCTTATAATAAGAAAGCCAAATGGAATCCTGCAATTATTGCAAAACAACTGGATTTTAAATTAGTGTTGTTAAAATTATATAAAAACCAAAAAAAACTGTGGATACTGTAAATCAGAACCAAAAACAGAAGTTGCTGGAAAAGCTCAGCAGGTCTGGCAGCACCTGTGAAGAGAAATCAGAGTTAATGTTTCGGGTCCGGTGACTCTTCCTCAGAACGGGTCATTGGACCTGAAACGTTAACTCTGATTTCTCTTCACAGATGCTGCCAGACCGACTGAGCTGTTCCAGCAACTTGTTTTTGCTTTTGTTAAAATTATGTGTGACATTGGTGAGATCACACCTGGAATACGTGTTTTGGTCTCCTTACCTGAGAAAAGATGTGGTGGCACTGGAGGCAGTTCAGAGGAGGTTCACCAGATTGCTTCCAGGGATGAAAGGGCTGTCATATGAGGAGCAGTTGATTAGCTTGGGCTTGTACTTGCTGGAGTTCAGAACAATGAGGGGGGAATCTGACGAGGTATATAAAATGCTAAAGGGGATTGATAAAGTTGATGTTGAACAGATGTTCCTATTTGTGTGACAGTCTTAATCAAGCGGTCATACATGTAGAGTGAGATGAGGTTGGTTCAAAACTGAGATAAGGAGAAACTACTTCTCTCAGAGGGTTGTGAATCTGCGGAACTCACTGCTCCAGAGTACAGTGGAGGCAGAATCAATCAACTGACTCAAGAAAGAAATACCTATATTTCTGATGAAAAGCAGGATGAAGGACTATGAGGAGCAGGCAGGAGAGTGGAGTTGAGACCAGGATAACTGGAGTATAGGAGGTTGAGGGGTGACCTTGTAGAGATTTACAAAATCTTGAGGAGCATAAAGGCCTTTTCCCTAGGGTGGGGGAGTTCAAAACTATTTTTAAAGTGAGAGGAGAAAGATTTAAAAGGGACCTGAGGGGTAATGTTTTCACACAGAGAGCAGTTTGCATATGGAATAAACTGCCAGAAGAAGTGGTAGATGCAAGTACAGTTACAATGTTTAAAAGACATTAGCACAGATACATAGAAAAGGTTTAGAAGGATATGGGTTAAATGCAAGCAAGTGGGACTAGTTTAGTTGGGGAAACTTGGTTGGCATGGATGAGTTGAACAAAGGGTCTGCTTCCATGCTGTATGACTCACTAAGATCAGCCATGATCATGTTACATGGTGGAATAGGCTCAAAGGACTGAATTGTCTACTCCCGCTCCTAATTCCTATGTTCCTATAATGTCACCTCCTGTCAAATCTGCATTATTTCACCAACTGATGTGCTGAGACAATGTATAAACACCATTACAAATGAGGAATTATTCTCTCCTGATTGCAGACTCCTGCCAGTTTTAAATTGTGTACGAGCGCTAACACCCATCTTGTACATTTGCTCTTGATTAGATATTTCAAGGGGCATCTCACCAGGACTGTTTTTGGCCAATTGTTTAGCTTCCAGGAAGGCCACCTTCTCTTCCTGAATAAACATTCGATCGATCATCACCATCTCAGCTGAGGAGTTCGTCCTCTGATAACACACAAAGAAGAACAAAGTGGTTAAGCCCCAGGATTTGGAAATGCAGAGGTCATTCAGCTCCTTCAGAATGTTCTCATTCAATTAGGTCAGAGCTCAGTTATACTTCAACCCATTCCTTCGACCTTGCTTCATATCCCTTGATAAGTTCCCCAACAAAGAGCCATCATTGCTCACTTCTGAAATTTTCAACTTATTCCTCTCCGACCCTTTCAATAACTTTCAGAAAGTTAAGATTTTCACTATCAGTGATGTCAGAGGTGCCTCTTGATATTCCCCCTGAATGACTCAGTTTGTATTTAAGATTGTACCTTCACCTTTCTTACCTGGGAAACTTACTTTCTGTCTACGCTATGAAAATCTCCTTACATTTCAAACACCTCAGTTAGATAACCCCTTGATGTTCGACCTCAGGGGCAAATTTTTTGTCATGGCAGGAGGCCATTCAGCCCATTGTGTTTGCACTGGCTCATTCAGCATTTTAACTTAGTGTCAATCTCTTGCCTTTTTACCTTCTACCCTGAGCATTGCTTTTATTTAAATAATCATCCAACGCATTCTTGAATGCCTCAATTGAATCTGCCCACGCAACACTTCCAGGCAATGCATTCCAAAGCCAGACTGTTTTTTTCTCATGTCACATTTGCTTCATTGACAATACACTTTGAAACTGTGCCCTCTGGTTCTCGATGTATTTACAGGTGTGAACAGTTTCTCCTGATCCACTCTGTCCTGATCCCTCATGATTTTGAAAACTTCTGTCTAATTTCCTCTTAACCTTCTCCTCTCCAAGGATAACAGTCCCAACTTCTTCAAACCTTAGTTCATAGCTAAAGTTTCTCATCCTGGAATCATTCTCATATACCACTTCCGCACTTTCTTCAATGCATTCACATCATTCCAAACCGCTCCTCATAATTTAACCATTTAAACCCTGGAATTAACTGCAAATTGCAAAAGGTAAGATGCTACACATTGCTAGAGAAGGGGAGGAAAAAGCTGTTAAGGCTCGTACTTTTGTTGACTATCTATTGATTTCTACTATTTAATATGAATTGCTTAGTGTTAATATTGAATGAGAATCGAATGAAGATTCAGATAATCTGTGATCATTTCTTGTTTACTCCCTCCCCATTCCCTTCCTCTCTGCTGAAGTCACTGAGCAACACTCGCTACCTTCATATGAAGGAGGATCAGTGGGTCAAAATACTGGAGACCATCCAGTGACCAAGAATGTTCCCTCATGGTCTGGATTCCTTTTGCAGAGAGTTGCATAGTTAACGCAACATGAACACCTTACCCTGGATTCTTCAAAGAGCAACAGACGGTATTTGTTCAGCATGACCTGCATTCGTTTCAGGAGCTGCGTTGATATGACCTCAAACTCTTCATCCACTGGGGGAGAAGAATCAGATCAACAGTGAGAAAGCTATAAAAATAATGACAATATTCAAGCCGACATCTTGTGAAGCTTCAATGAGTTTTATGTTTTGGACTCCTGAAGATTTGGACAAAAGAAAATTTGGAATAATGAAGATTTAGACTAATGAAGACAGCTCATTCTTGTATCTGTTTGTACAATAATATAGGCTACACTTCATCCAAATACCTGACATTTGCGGGTTTCTGTCTCCTTTTAGTCTCAAGTGAGCTCATGCATAATGTCAGATCACCTCTTATAGAGTCATACAGCATAGAAACAGACCCTTCGGTCCAACCAGTTCATGCCGACCATGTTCCCAAACTAGTCTCACCTGTCTGTGCTTGGCCCACAGCCATCCAAACCTTTCCTATTCATGAACTTATCCAAATATCTTTTAAACATTGTAACTGTACCTGCATCCATCACTTTCTCTAGCAGTCCACTCCATACACAAAACACTGTGTAAAAAGTTGCCTTCTATTTCCTTTTTAAATCTTTCTCTTCTCACCTTAAAAATATGCCCCCTAGTTTTGAATTCCCCCCACAGGGAAAAGACCCTTGTCATTCACCTTTATTTAGGCCCCTCAATTTCATAAACCTCAATAAGGTTTATTCAACCTCCCATGCCCTAGTGAAAAATGTCCCAGTCTTTCTAGTCTATTGTTATATCTCAAACTCGCCATTCCCAGCAACACCCTGGTAAATCTTTTCCGAATCCTCTCCAGTTTAGTAATATACTTCCTATAACAGGGTAACCAGAACTGGAAAGAGCACTCCAGAAGAAGCTTCACCAATGTCCTGTAGAACAATATGATGTCCCAGCTCCTATACTCAAAGGGGCAATTGTGCTAAATGCCTTCTTAACCACCTTGTCTAAATGCATTACCTCACACTTATCCAAATTAAACTCCATCTGCCACTCCTCAGCCCACTGACCCAATTGATGAAGTACTCTTTGTAATCTTTGATAATTTTCTTCACTGTCCACTATAGCACCAATTTTGTAAACTTAGTAACCATGGCTCCTATATTCTCATCCAAATCATTTATATAAATTATAAACAAATGTGGACCCAGTACTGATTCCTGTGGAACACTGCTGGTCACAGGCCTCCAGTCCAAAAAAAATCAATCATCCACCATCACCCTCTGTCTTCTGCCATACAGTCAATTTTGTATCCAATTGGCAAACTCACTTGGAATCTCATGTGATCTAACTTTATTAATTAGTCTACCATGCAGAATCTTGTCAAAGTCTAATTAAATAATGTCTACTGCTCTGCCCTCAATCCTTATGGTTACTTCTTAAAACACTCAAGATGAGATTTTCCTCGCACAAAACCATGCTATCCTTAATCAATCCTTGCCTCTCCAAACGCATATAAACCCTATCTTTTAAAATCACCTCCAAACAACTTAGCCCCCACCGATGTCAGACTCACAGATGTATAATTCCAGACTTCTCCTTACAGCCTTTCTTAAACAATGGCACAACATTAGCCACCCTCCAGTCCTCCGGTACTTCACCCATGTTTATAGATGATACAAATATTTCTGCTAGGGGCCCCGCAATTTCCTCCCTAACTTCCCACAACGTCCTCAGATACGCTTGATCAAGTCCTGGAGATTTATTCTACCTTTCTGTTTTCTAACACCTCCAGCACTTCCTCTTAAAAGGCAAGAGTGCTGGACAATTCTTGTAGAGCAGTCAAAAACCAGGGGTCATCAACACAAGACAGACAGTGACTAACACAGGATGAATTCAGAAGAAATGACCCAGGGAGAGGCAGGAATATGGAACTTGCTACCAGAAACAACAGTGGTGGCACATTATTACTTAAGGTTTAAGGGTAAGACAGATAGACACATGAAGAAGAAAGGAATGATAGGATATTCAGAAAGGGTGTCAGTTTTGGAAGAATAAAAAGGTAGCTTGGTGAGAGGTCGCAGAGTACTGAAATAGAGGAACTTGGATTTGCTAATGTATGAATTACAAAAGGTCTGTATGCAGGTACAACAAGTAATAAGGGAAACTAACAGAATGTCGTAATTTATTGCCAGGGGAATTGGATACAAAAGTAAGGAGATTATGCTTCAGGTATACAGGGCACTGGTGGAACCACATCTGAGTACTGTGCGCAGTACTGGTTTCCTTGTTAAAGGAAAGATGTAAATGTATTGGAAGCAGGCAAAGGAGGCAATGGCATAGTGGTCTTTGGGCTAACAATCCAGAACCCAGGCTAATGTTCTGGGTACATGGGTTCGAATCCATCATGGCAGGTGATAAAATCTGCATTCAATAAAACAAAAGGGCAACCTAATGTAACCACTGTCATTTGTTGTAAAACTAATGTTCTTTAGGGGGAGGAAATCTGCTGTCCTTACTTGGTCTGGCCTGCATGTAACTCAACTCCAGATCCCCAGAAATTTTGTTGACTCTAGAAAGTAAACATCGACCTCTTAGAGAGTGAGGCTGGGGAAATAATAGTGGACAATAAATTAAAAATGTTTTCCATCAGTCTTCACAGAAAACGACACTAGTAGCATCCCAAAATTACTAAACAATCAAGGTGCTCAGAGAATAGTTGACAAGAAATAAATACAGTAATTTCACTAAATAAAAGGTACAAGGGAAACTAATGGGCCAAAGGCAGATAAGTACCCTGGACATGATAAGTTGAATCCCTAAATATTAAAGGTACAGAGATAGCGATACATTATGGTAATCATAAAAGATTCCTTAGATTCTAGAAAAGTCCTGAATGATTGGAAAATTGAACAAACAAGGAACAATACAGCACAGAAACTGGCCCTTCGGCCTTCTTTCCCACCACATTTTGCCCTTCCATATTAAAACTGTCTTCACTTACAGGATCCATATCCCTTCCTGTTCATGTATTCATCCAGGTGCTTCCTGAATGCTGCTATTGTGTCTGCTTCCACCACCTCCTCTGGCAGTGTGTTCCAGGCACTCACCACCCTGTGTTAAAAACCTGCCTCACACATTTCTTTTAAACATCCCCCCTCGCACCTTGAGCCTCTGCCCCCTAGTAATTGACTCCTCCACCATGCAAAAAAGCCTCATACTTTCCACTTTATCCATGCCATTCACAATCTTATAAACCTCTATCACGTCACCCCTTAACCTCCTATGTTTCAGTGAAAACAAATCCAGCCTATCCAACCTTTTTCCATAGCTAAAATCCCCCATACCAGGCAACACTCTGGTAAATCTTTTCTGTACCCTCTCCAAAGTAACCACATCCTTCTGGTAGTTTGGTGACCAGAACTGTACATAATATTCCAAGTATAGCCTAACTAAGTTCTATAAAGCTGCAGCATAGCTTGTCTATCCTTGTACTCAGTGCCCCTTCCAATGAAGGCAAGCAATACCATAGGCCTTTTTTACTACCTTATCTACCTATACTGACACCGTCAATGATCTGTGGACCTGCACACCCAGATCTCTCCGCGTATCAATGCTCCTAAGGGTTCTGCCTGTACTTGACCTTCCAAAATGCACCTCACATTTGTCTGGATTAAACTTCATCCGCCATTTTTCTGCCCATGCTTCCAAACTGATCTATATCCTGTGTATCCTCTGACAATCCTCCTCACTTTCCTCAACTTCACCAATCTTTGTATCACCTGCAAACTTACTAATGAGGCCAGCATAACATCCTTATTCAAAAAGGAGACAAGAAAAAAAATAACAATCGGCCAGTTAGCTTAACATCTTTTATGGAACATGTTAAGGGTTTATTACAAAAAATATAATAGAAAGGCATTTAGAAATACACAATATGATCAAGCAGAGTCAGCATAGTTTAATGAAGGGAAAATCATGCCTGACAAATTTATTTTGAGGAGGTAATAAATAGGGATAGATAAAGGGGATGCAGTCGATATTATACATTTAAATGCTCAGAAGGCATTTGATAAGGCACCGAAAATTAGGCTACTTAAGATAAGACTCTATGGTGTTGGGGATAGTATATTAGTTTGGATAGAAAACTGGCTATCCGGAAAAAGATAGAGTTGGAGTAATAGGGCATTTTTAGGATGGCAACCTGTAGCTAGTGGATCAGTGCTGGGACCACAAATAATTACAACGTATATTAATAACTTGGTTGAGGAAACTGAATGTACTATAGTCATGTCCACAAATGACACAAAATAGGTGGGAAGGCAAGAGGTGAGGATGACACAAAGAGACTGCAGAGAGATATAGATGGGTAAGTGGCAGATGGAATATAATGAGGGGAATGTGAGGTTATGCATTTTGGCAGGAAGCATAGAGGAGCTGAATATCATTTAAATGAAGAAAGACTGCAGAGAGATACAGAACAGAGGGATTTGGGAGTCATTGTGAATAGGTCAAAAAAAAGTACCCAAGTTCAATGGGTAACAGGGAAGGCAAATGTTAGTCTTTATTTTAAAGGGAAAATTATACAAGGCACTAGTCAGATCACTGCTTGAGTACCTTGAAGAGTTTCGGCCCTCTCACGAAGGAGAGGTATACTGGCACTGGAGGCAGTCCAGCGAAGGCTCACTAGGCTGATCCTGGCTCCAGAGCGGACGTCTTATGAGGAGAGGATTGAGTAGATTGGGCCTGTACTCTTTGGAGTTTAGAACAACGAGAAGTTGAAGAATATTGAACAAATTGAAACATATAGGATTCTTGGGAGATTTTACAGGGTATATGCAGAAAGATGGTTTCCCTGTGTTGGGAGAGTCTAGGACCAGACAGCATAATCTCAGAATAAGGGATCACACTTTTAAAACAGGAGGAATTTCTTCACTCAGAGGGTTATTAATCTATGGAATTCTTTGTGCAGAGGGATTGAGTTATTAAGTATTTTTAAGACTGAGGTAGCTTTTTAATCAGTAAGGGAATCAGTGCTTGTGTGGAAAAGGCAGGAAAGTGGAGTTTAGGATTATTGAATCAGTCATGATCTCACTAAATGGTGGAGCATTCAAATGACCTAATTCTGCTCCTGTAGCTTGGACAATTGACCACTTGCAGGAAGAAGTGGACAGGTGACTGCCTGCAGAAAACCTCGGGAAATGCTGCTGAACATGCGGAGCTCTTGGAAGTACTCCTAGTGTAGATTATATAGGAGAATTCTGTCATGTAGTTCAAACATTTATGAACTTTACACCCACAATACAAATAGTGCCAAAGGACTTATAATCTGCAGGACTGTATTTCAAAGTTTTACAAGTAAACCATTTTGTTTTTAAATCAGCCTGCAACTCACTACTTGTCAAAAGTGTATCATTTTTAGATTAGTAATCAATCCTGAAGTGAGTCTGTGAGTGAGATTAACATTGACAGTGAATAAAGTTCTCCAGAGTTCATAATCTAAACAGATAACTAAAGGCCAACAATGCAGCCACTACACCGGTCATCAATTCACTGGCATGTCACACTTTGCTCCTCCCCATCCTGTAACAAGAGACAGTTTTTAAAGTACCTTTGTTAAAGTCCACATTAGTAGGTAGTGTCCCTTTACATACATGATAGGGCAGCAGTCTGAGCGCTGTGTCCTCAAAGGAATTAAAAGGAGTGTTGCAATCAGGTTGAAGGACAGAGGTCTGATCCTTGCAGAACTTTTCAAGTAATCTGTTTGTGCCACAATTAAAAAGAGAGAAACTGTTAGTAACAAGCCCTGAAAAACCGAATTGTCACATTGCTCTTTGTGGGATCTTGCTGTGTGTTAACTGGATGCTATGTTTCCTACACTGCAATAACTAATTTTAAGGCACTGCAGTGACTGTAAAGTGCTTTAGTTCATCCCCAGGTTGCGAATGACACTGTATGGTGCAACCTCCCTCTTTCCATTTTTCAAAAACTTGACTGAGCACCATCTGGATGAAGAATCAATGCAGGTTTGTCATGGAGTTCTTGAGGGATTGGTATTGGGACGCTTACTTTTCCTTATCAATATTAATGATCTAGAACTTGGTGTACAAGGGACAATTTCTAAGTTTGCAGATGATACTAAACTTGGAAGAACTGTAAATTGTCAGGTTGACAATGCGGAACTCCAAAAGGACATGGACAAGTTGGTGGACTGGGTGGATAGGTTCAATGCAGAGAAGTATTAGGTGACGCACTTTTATCAGAAGGACATTAAATGACAATATAAAATAGGGGGTACAATTCTAAAGGGACTGCGGCAGCAGAGGGACCTGAGGGTACATGTGAGTACATTATTCAAAGTGACAGGACAGGTGGAGAGAACAGTAAATAAAACAGACCATGTTCTTAGCTTTATTAGTAGGGGCATAAAGTACAAAAGCAGGGAGATGATGTAGAACTTACATAAGACACTTGCTAGACCTTAACCGGAGTATTATTTACAGTTGTGGGCACCATATTAAAGGAGAAAGACGAATGCATTGGAGAGAGTGCAGAAAGAGTTTACTATCATGCTTTCAGGTATGAGAAACTTCAGTTATGAGGATAGATTGAAGCCGAGACTGTTCTCCCTGGAGATAAGAAGGCTTAGATGAAATCTGATTAGGTTTCCAAAGTAATGAATGGGCTAGACAGAATAGATAAGGAGAAACAGTTTCTGCTCATAAAAGAAATAAGAATGAAATGGCAGAGATTTAAAGTGATGTGCAATGGGGAAAAGGCAGGAGACTGGCATTAGATAATATACCAAATGCAGTCACAATGGGCTGAATGGCCTCCTTTTGTTCCATAATACTCCCGTGATTCTGTGACCTATCCCAATTCATTTAGTCAGCTCTGTGATCATAATTTCATAATTACCCTTATGTAAATTTAAAACATTAGGCCTGACCTACTCTTTTCTCTACCTCAAACTGCGAAGTTCAATTATGTTACGATCAATGTTACCTGGGGTGACCTTTACTTGATGAATTAATTAATCTAGCCTAATTTCACTTTAGCAGATCGAGTATTGTGTGCTCTCTGGTTAGATCTAGAACATGCTGCTTAAGAAACTATCTTTCTATGAACTCATCTTCCAGGCCACTTCTGCCAGTTTGATTTGTCCATCCATATGTAAATTAAAATTACAAGTAATTTTGCTGTACCTTTGTCACAATCTCCCATTATTTCTAACTTTCTGCCCCATTGTACAGTCTAGTATTGTTAGGGAGCCTGTAATCTACTCTCAAGGTCATTTCTTTGTTATTTCTTATTTCTACTTAAACCGATTGTACAGTTGGAATCTTGTGCTGCTCCTGGGACCACAAAGCAAGGTGGGTAGGGAAAATTAATTTTGCTGGAGGCCAAAATTCAGATGGTGGTGGGATGAAACTAAACAATGAAAAAGCCAGACGGGTTGCACCTGAACAGAGCTGCAACTGATGTTGTTATACTATTGTCCTTGGGAAGGCTTTATAATAACTTGACAGGGCTGTGGGAACCAAGGGAGAATAGTAGACAAGGAGACCAGGGTTTACTAAATACTTGTGACCTGCAACTGGCATGAGCACAGACAATAGCAAGTTTACAGGTAAAGTTAGAGTAAGGAAGTAAACAATGAAGACTAAATTAGTGTTACTGTGCATGTATTGAATGCATGGAGTATAGGAAATAAGGTTGGAGAGTAATGGGCACAAATTGCCATTTGAAATTATGATGTTGTGGTGATAACAGAGACCTGGGACAAGAAAGGGTGTTAGGATTGTGTTATATGTTCCTTGATGAGGAACCATCGGGATGAGTCTTGAATTGCTTTAGCCCACAGCCAGTATACACGTGATGGTCTCTGTCTGGATTCTATAATGTTATAGTTCAGGGGGAAGGTTTGAACAGAGTTTTGTCTTGGTAATGCGATGATGTGGTGGTATCTGTGAACTGCAGTGATGCCTGCTGTACCGACCATTGACTTATTTGATCAGTGATGAACATTCGATCATAGCATCAAGATCCAAATGTGCAGTGAAGACGGGACTGATGTCTTCACCTAAAGCTGCCCAAACGGAGGCGGAAGTTCAAGTGCAGCTCATGTCTAAGCTGGAAAGTCTGCAAATGCCCAACTCAATTCCTGAACAATTAGATCAAACGGAGTCAGCCAGACTAGGCTCCTGTGTCCGCACCACTGCGTTCAATCATTGTCATCACCAGCTATGGCTCAGTGAAAACAATCTCGGCTCCAGCACATCTGTTTAGGAGATCCTGAGGGGGCTGTCCTAGGCTCAACCATCTTCGGCTGCCTCACCAGTGATCTTCCCTCCATCATAAGGTCAGAGGTGGGGATGTTTGCCAATGATTGCACAATGTTCAACACTATTCATGACTCCTCAGACATTGAAACACTTCATGTTCAAATGCAACAAGACTTGGGCAATATGCAGGCTTGGGCTTACAAGTGGAAAGTAACATTTGCACCACACAAGTGCCAGACAATGACCATCGCCAATAAGAGACAATCTAACCACCACCCCTTGCCATTCAATGGTGTTACCATCACTGAATCCCCACTATCAACATTCTGTGGGGTTACCATTGACCAGAAACTCAACTGGACTCATCACATAAACATATTGGCTACAACAGCAGGTCAGAGGCTAGAAATACTGTGGTGAGTGACTCACCTCCTGACTCCCCAAAGGCTCTTTACAATTCACAAGGCACGAGTCAGGAGTGTAATGGAATACTCCCCACTTGCTTGGATGAGTGCATCTCCAACAACATTCAGGAAGCTTGACACCATCCAGGACAAAGTGGCCTGCTTGATTGGCTCTACATTTTCAAGTATCCATTCCCTCCACCACTGATGCTCAGTAGCAGCAGTATGTATTATATACACTGCAGAAATTCACCAAAGATCCTTAAACAGCACCTTCCAAACCCACAACCACTTCTATTGAGAAGGACAGGGGCACAAATACATGGGAACATCACCGCCTGCAAGATCCCCTCCAAGACTTTCACCTTCCTGAGTTGGAAACACATTGCCGTTCCTTCACTGTCGCTGAGTCAAAGTCCTGGAATTCACTCCCTAAGGGGATGGTAGGTCAACCCACAGCATGTGAACTGAAGCAGTTCAAGAAGGCAGCACACCACCACCTTCTGAAGGGCAACAAGGGACAGGCAATAAATGTTGGCCAGCCAGCAATGCCCACATCCCACAAATGAATAACGAAAAGTGTGAATCTAAGTCAATTGTTTTAAATCTGAATAAAGGTAATTTTAAGGGTATAAAGGCAGACCTAGCTAAAGTTAACTAGGTTAAAAGGTAGAAATACGTGGCAGAATCTTAAGGAGAAATTTAATGACTTTCATCAAAAATTTATCTCAGTGAGAAAGATTCTTTGAGAAGGATCCATCATCTGTGGCACTAGATCAGAAGATAGGTCGGGACGTACCATCTACAAGATACACTGCAGAAATTCATCAAAGATCCTCAGATAGCATCTTCCAAAGCCATGAACATTCCCATCTATAAGGACAAGGGCAGTAGATACATGGGACCACCACCACCTGGAAGTTCCCCTCCAAGCCATGCTAACTTGGAAATATATCGTCATTCCTTCACTTTCACTTGTTCAAAATCCTGAGCTCCCTCCCTAAGGGCACTGTGGGTCTAAAGTACATGGACTGCAGCAGTTCAAGAAGGCAGTTCACCGCCACCTTCTCAAGGGCAACTAGGGACAGGCAATAAATGCTGGCCCAGCCAGAATTGCCCACATCCCTTGAATGGATATTAACAAAAAAAAACCCAACCCATACAAGTTCCATGTATCAAGTTCATAAAGTCACTGTCTCAACTGATGCTGCTTTTGATTTAAATCTTTGCCCTTCAAATAGAACAAAAACTGATGCATTGTCTATCCTCTGTTGTTTAGGCAATGGAGCTTCATTTGTTACTTAGCCTGACCTCTTGGCAAGATGGAGCTAGGTTTGACACTGGGGCTGCATTAGCTCCCTGCTGTGTGGACTCTGAACTAGTCTTGTCTCAGAGCTACTACTCTCACATAGTGGAATCAAGTAACTTTTGAGATGTGATGGATAACACTAAATTATTTTAATTTTTTGTGTAGCCTAATGGAAACAAATCGGAGAACCGAAGAGCAGCTCACATGGTCCATGTATCCACAATAAACACCAACACGTAAGCAAAGGGTAAGGTGGCTTTGGTCAGAGGTAACGCACTTACAGATCTCCTCGCCTCAGAGTAGCTGTTGCTGTTTTCTTCAGCTTTCCAACTGATTCTTCAAACTGCAAAGTATAAAAACAAATCAAAACAGAGCAGAACACAAACGTCTCCTTTTGTTTAAGAAAGAACTGACTTCCCAGAATTAGTACACTAGATTTTCAACAGATTATACAATGGTAAATGTATAATTCAGAGATGAAAAGTGTTGTAAGAAGTTCTCAACTAATAATAACGTACTAACCAATGCTGACTGGAGATGCCGATTTGCTGTTGACGTGATGTGAGCAATCCCTTTCCCAATCATTTGGATTTGGATTGACCCCTTACTTAAGGTGACATTCAGGCCTGTGAGGTTGCTGATCATACTGGATGTTGCCTGAAGAATGGACAAGAAAAATCACACCACCAGAAGGTAGCACAGTTTTGAACAATAAACTGTTACAAAAGATGATGATTGTTTTAAAAGAAATGGTCAGTTGCAGCATTATTTGCTAGTGATTGCACAACACTAATCACCATTCATGAACTGAGCAGCCATTGGATGGCCAATCAGGTCATTCATTAATCCGTGAATGCTCAAATACTCCACATTCTTCACAAGGGGAATGGACCGTATGGAAACAAACAAACTCAAAGAACATTAACTGTCCCAATGTACTCCACGTCTGCCTTTTCCGTTCAGGTCTGTCAGTTAAACTTGCATATTGCAGTCACAATTTAATCCCCTCTAGTGAAAACCTTTTAGGCTCTTATCTAAAATTCATTCACAATTTGTGGGCATCACTAGCAAGGCCAGCATCTGTCACCCATCTCTAACTTTCCTTGCACTGAGAGGCTTGTTTAACCATTTCAGAGGGCAGTTAAGAGTCAACCACATTGCTGTGGGTTCAGAACCACGGGAATGCCAGACCAGGTGAGACTTCCCTCCCTGAAGGGATTTTGTGTGGAGTGAATGAAATTGATTGATCTGTGGTGCTGGGGTCCTCTGGAGGAGCCAAGATGAATCATCCACTTGGTAATTTTGGCTGTAAGATGTTTGCACACATAATTCAGTAATTTGCATTTAAAAGAAGCATCTCCTAATCTCTCTCATCACCGAGTAAAATTTTAACCTCATCACTTGTCTTCGTAAACCACTGTTCATCACAAGGTTGGGACTCGATCAGAACTCCACACCATTTTAGAGAAATTAATCCCACCTTCACTGTCTCTACTCCAGTGTGAACAATGTCACCATCTCCAGTCTTCCCTCTTCCCTGCAAACTTCCATCCCTTGTAAATCCACACAATACACTCGCTGTGCTTCAATGCCCTCTCTATAAAGTGCCATCAAGAACTACACACAGCACACCAGTAGTGAGTCATTCATTTACAATACAATAAGTTTCAACATATATGTTTCATCTTTTTTTCTGTACTCCTCTATAGTATTCAAAGTGCTAATGGCATCTTTTTAAGCTCAGATTTCTGTCATATTTGGGGAATAATTTGAGACATTCAAGACAGCATTGGATGGTTATTTGCATAGCAATGGTGTGTAGAGATTTAGGGATAAAGCAGGAGATTAGCACTGGGTACTTGAACGGGAGCAGCCATGACAGGCACCTAAGGCCACCTTCTGCACCATATCAGCTCTGTAATTCTGTGATACACAGCAAACGTTTATTATCCAGCACCTATGGCACCAGGAGTATGCCGGTTGATCAAATATTCCAGATAATCAAGAGGTCCACATAATCATTGTTAAAGCACACACTAAATAATAGAAGCGTAATGCATGGGGTATACACATCACTGTTACACTTTATGTACAGCATAAATCAGTTACATAATAATGCAACTTTGTCTTAAATAAAACTTACCGGCAGAGAGGCTTCTCACTTGCATTCTTAGACATTGCAGTAGCTCGCAGTATTTGAGGAGAAATTGACTCGAAATTGAATCAACGGTTGATATTTTGTGTGGCCATTCGATTGAACAACATTGAGGTAAATAAATTAAATAACTATAATAATTGGACAGAATAATACAGTAAACTTAGTGGTATTTGAGATATATAATTTTTGCCAGTTCATAAGATGTCGATTAAAACAAAGTTTGCTCATTTTAAATTGCATATGTTTGCTCTTCTGCCCTTCAGTGTATTTAGACCAATTGTGTTCTTCATTTTGTTGATTTTCCTCTCGAAATAGAACCGTTATGGTCACCAATGTATGCCAAAATTAACAACAACTTTATTTATTTAGCACCTTTGGTGATATAGAATCTCCCAAGATACTTCACAGGTGCATTGTAAAACATACTCAAGCACTAAGCCACATAACGAGATAATGTGGTTAAAACAATAAGCTTGGGCAAAGAGTCTTAAAGGCGCAAGTCAAGTCAACTGGCAGAGGGTGCAGGGAGGGTGCAAGAGCTTAGAGCACATGTGGATTGAAGAGAAATTAAAAATCGGTTCTGCATGAGCTGATTTTTTTAGATATCTTGGAGCATTGTGGGGCTGTAGGAGATCTTAGAGATAGGGAGAGGTGGTGTCCTGGAGGAATTTGAAAGAAGAGGATGTGAAGGCTTGTTTCGAGCTGGCGTAGTTTAGCAAAGATCGAGATGTGTTTGAAGACATGGGCAGTAGAGTTTTGGATACCTCCTTGTGTTTAGAAAGGATAGAATACAAGAGAGTAGCCAGGAGAGTGCTGGAATAATCGAGGCTAGAGATAAAAATGGCATGGATGGAGGCTTCAGCAGCAGATAAGCTGAGACAGAGCTGAAGTCATACGATGTCACAGACATGGAACCTCAGTGTTAATGTGAATACGAGGCTATCTTGGGTCAAATATAATATCAAGATTGTGATTAAAACTTGTTTTATTTTCAAGCTGTTGCCAGGCAAAGTGATGGAGTATGGAGCAAAGGCCAAAACTAATGGTTTTAGTCTCCCCAAGATTAAATAGGAGAAAATTTCTGCTCATTGAGAACTGGATGTTGGAGATTGTGATAATTTAGTGATAAGGGAGGAGTGAAGGTGTGAGGCTAAGATAGAGCTGGATGTTGCCAGCATACATGTGAAAACTAACACTGTGCTTTCAGATGATGTAATTGACGGAGAGAGAGGTAGATGCAGGGAGCCCTGAATGAGGAATTATTAGGTTAATCCCACAGTGGAATGTCTTACACTCAGCACATACTAGGTGCAAATTTCTTCTTTAGTTCATTCATAGGGATGTAGGCATCGTTGGCTGGGCCAACGTTTCTTGCCCATCCCTAATGACCGTTGAGACAGTGCTGGTAAGCCACCATCTTGAATCACTGCAGTTCACAGATACCATCACATTGTCGCATTACCAAGACAAAACTCTCTTCAAACCTTTCCCTTAAACAATAACATTGTAGAATCCAGACAGAGACCATTGCGTGTATACTGGCTGTGGGCTAAAGCAATTCAAGATTCATCCCACTAGCCCACTCACCTGACAATCTGGTATTGTCCTCTAATGCAAGTACTGGATGTGGAAGCTGGGAGAGTGGAGTCCTGTTTGAAGTCAGGGAGGGCATCTATCACAAATTCATATTTTCTAACTGCCTAACCAGAGACTCCCACATCCCATGAATAAATAAAAAGAAATATTCAGCCCATCCAGCCCGCTCCACCATTCAAACATGTCCATGATCCTTTATCTTAATGCTGTACATCCACTCCCACCGCAAACCCACTGACACCTTTAGCCTTTAGAAATCTTTTTTCCGTATCCTGAGACTGTGACCCCTTGTGCCGAATTCCTTTGATTCTGAGAAAATCCAGTCTGTCTCGGCCTGTCAGAATTTTATTTGTTTCAAGGAGATCCTTTCTTATTCTTCAAAACTCCAGGCAATACAGACCCATTTGATCTAATTTCTCCACATTTGGTAAACCTGCTATGCGAGTAATCAGTCTGGTGAACCTTCACTGCAATCCCTCTATGGCAAGAATATCTTTTCAGAGGCAAGGAAACTAAAACTGCACACAATACTCTGGGTGTAGTCTCACAAAGGCCTTGTAGTAAGATGTAGTAAGACTTTCTTGGCCCTGCACTGGAACTCTTGCAATGAAGGCCAGCATACCATTTGTCTTCCTAACTGCCTTCTGAACCTGCACGCTTGCTTTCAGTGACTGGTGTACAAAGATATTTCACAACATTTCCCAATCTATCACCATTTAAGTAATAGTGTGCCATTCTGTTTTTCCTTCCAATGTGGACAACTTCACATGTATTTGTCCACTCACTCAATGTGTCTAAATCACCCTGAAGCCTCTTTATGTCGTCCTCACCACTCCCACTCACACCTAGTTTTGTGTTCTCAGCAAACTTGGAAAATATTACACTCGATTTCCTCATCCAAACAGCTGTGAATATCTGAGGACCAAGCACTGATCCCTGTGGCACCCCACTTGTCACCACCTGACACTCCGAAAATGACCGAGTTATTCCTATTTTGTTTTCTGTCAGCTAACCAATTCCCAATCCATGCCAGTATGTTATCACCAATCCCATGCGCTTTCATTTTTTTTACAATAATCTTTTAAGAGGACTTTCTTTAAAGCTTTCTGAAAGTCCAAAACACCACATTCAGTGGTTCGCCCTCATTTACACTGCAACATACATCCTCAAAAATCTCCAGTAAGTTGTCAAATGCCATTATCCTTTTATAAAACCATGTTAACTTCATATGAACCTGTTGGTATTTCCTAAGTATCCTGTTATCACATCCTGAGGTGTTCCTTCGTACTAACAGTCTGTCATTTCCAGTTTACTCCCTCCTTCCTTTATTAAACGGTAGGATTACATTTGCCACTGTCCAATCTGCAGGGATTGTTCCAGAATCTACAGAATTTTGGAAGATGACAACCAACACATCTATTATTTCCATGGTCACTTCCTTTAGTATCATTCACTCCCATTCATTTCTCCAGCAGTATTATGTACTAATATTAATCTCCTTCAATTTTTCCTTCCCAATATACACTTGCTTCTCCAGCATTTCTAGGAAATTATCTGTCTCTTCTTCTGTGAACTAAAGTAGTTATTTCATTGCTGCACCATTTCCTCATTTTCCATTATCAATTTACCCCATTTCAAGACTGCATGGGACCAAACGTTCATCTGCACTAATCTTTTTCTTTTTACATGCTTATGGAAGCTCTTGGAGTGATTTTATATTGTAAGTTTACTCTCACATTCTATTTTTTTCCATCTTAATCGACTTCTTGGACCTCCTTTGCTGAATTCTACACTGCTCCCAAGCCTCAGGCTTACTACTTTCTCTTGCAAATTTATATGGCTTCTCTTTGAAGCTAATACTATCCTCAATTTATTTTGTTAGCCATAGCTGAGCCACTTTCCTTTTGTGTTCTTTCGTCCAAAAGCAATGTATTGCCGTTGCAATGCATGCATTAATTCCTTAGATACGAACCATTGCCTATTCAGTGTTGCGCCTTTCAATGAAGTTACCTAATCTATTGCAACCAACTCACCTTGATTTAGATTTAGATTGTTTAGATTTAAGACCCTAGTTTTGGATTGGACTGCTTCAATTTCCATCCCAAGGGAGAATAAGGCGAATCTTATCACCTTCCTCTTTGACCACCTTTTCCTCATTTGGCTTCATTTCTCTTTATGTGCCATGATGTCAACTTACACTGTGATGTGCAGTAGGATATATTACTTTGTTAAAAGCACTATATAAATGAAGGTTGCTTAGAAAATTGATGGCAATAAGGATCTGCCAAAGGATAAATTGAGCTTCAAAAATGAATAATACTGGGGACAAAATCACAACTTTAACTGATACCTCATGAAAATTCCACCAGGTTTGGCTTCAGGAGAAAGTAAACAAAGACATACTCGCTCAATCAAAGCTACTGCAACTTGGAATCAGTTCATACCTGGCCTGCCAAGGCAGGCAGGAAGTGGCTGGATTGACTCTGAGGTAAGACTGTTTGGTTTTTGGGCTCCATCAAAAGAGTGTTGGCTGGCGTGAAGACGGTGTTTGTTTGTACTCCAGGTCCAATCCCAATGCTGATGCCAGATGGTGAGACACTGCTGGCAGAGAATGGTACAACCAAGCCATTGTCAGAGGTCAGTGAGAGGCCTTTCTCCTGTTGAAGTTTCAAGGCCTGCTGGTAAAGGAGCTGTTGCTTTTGCTCTTTCTGGAAATGAAAGAAAGGTTAAAAATAATTAATTGTAATACACACTGAAACACACTGTTCAAATGCAGCAAGACCTGGATAACATCCAGGTTTGGCTTACAGGGTCATAAAATCATACAGCACAGAAACAGACCCCTCAGTCCAACCAGTCCATGCCGAACATAATCCCAAACTAAACTAGTTCCACCTGCCTGGTCCTGGCCCATATCCCTCCAAACCTTGCCTATTCATACATCCATCCAAATGTTGTTTAAATATTGTAATTGTACCCACATCCACCACTTCCTCAGCAAGTTCATTCCACAAGTGAACTACCCTCTGTGTAAAAAATTTGCTGCTTATGTCTTTTTTTAACTCTCTCCCCTCTCACCTTAAATATGTGCCCCCTAATCTTGAAATTGCCTATCCTAGGGAAAAGGCAGCTACCATCAACTCATCTATACCTCTCATTATTTTATAAATTTCTATCAGGTCATCTCTCAGCTTCCTACGTTCCAATGGAAAAAGTCCCAGCCTATACAGCCTTTCCTTATAACTCAAATCTTCCGTACCCGGCAACATCCTGGTAAATCTCTTCTGAACCCTCTTAAGTTTGATAATATCCTTCCTATAACTGGCAACCAGAACTGGACATAGTATTCCAGAAGAGGCTTCACCAACGTACTGTACAACCTCAACATAACTTCCCAACTCATATACTCAAAGGACTGAGCAATGAAGGAAAACATACCAAACGCCTTTTTAACTATTCTGTCTATATGTGAAGCAAACTTCAAAAGAATTATGTACTGCACCCTAGATCCTTCTGTTCTACAACACTACCCAAGGTCCAATCATTAATTGTATAAACCTAATCCTTGCTTGTTGTACCAAATGTAATACTTTGACTGAACTCCGTTTGCCATTTTTCAGCCCATTGACCCATTTGATCAAAATCCCTTTGTAATCTTAGAAAACCTTCTTCACTATCTAATGCCACCAATTTTGGTGTTGTCTACAAACTTACTAACCATGTCTTCTATATTCTCATCCAAATCATTTACCTAAATGACAAACAAAAGAGGACCCAGAACCAATCCCCGTGGAACACCGTTGGTCACAGGCTTCCAGCCTAAAAAGTAACCCTCCACTATTACTCTCTGTCTCCTGTCATTAAACCAATTATGTATCACATTGGCAAGTTCACTCTGAGTTAAGTCACCTAACTCTACTCATTAGTCTAGGGGAACCTTGTCAAAAGCTTTACTAAAATCCAAATAAACAACGTCTACTGCTCTGTCATCATCAAATTTTTGGTAACTTTCTCAAAAAACGCAATCAGATTTGTCAGACATGATTTTCCTCACACAAAACCATACTGACTATTCCTAATCAATTTTTGCCTCTCTAAATGTCCACAAATCCTGTCTTTAATAATTACCTCCAACAATTTACACACAACTGAAGTCAGACTCACAGGTCTATAGTTTGACAGGTAGTAAGGAACATTTGCGCCTTACAAATGCCAGGCAATGACCATCTCCAACAAGAGAGAATTTAACCATCACCCATTCATATTCAACGGTGTTACCATCACCAAATCCTGCATTGTCAACATTATGGGGGCGACCATTGACCAGAAACTCAACTGGACTCACCACATAAACAGAGTGCCTACAAGAGCAGGTCAGAGGCTAGGAATACCATGGTCAGTAACTCACCTCCTAACTCCCCAGAGTCTGACCACCATCTTCTAGGCAAAAGTCAGGCATGTGATGGAATACTCCCCACTTGTCTGGATGGGTGCAGCTCCAACAATATTCAGGAAGCTTGACACCATCCAGGACAAAGCAACCCACTTGATTGGCACCACATCCACAAACGTCCGCTCCCTCCACCATCAATGTTCAGTAGCAGCAGTGTGTGTTAATGGCAAGATACACTGCAGAAACTCGCCAAGGCTACTACCCAACCCAAGACCGTGATGATATAGAAGGATAAAGGTAGCAGATATGTGAGAACACCACCACCTGCAAGTTTCTCTCCAAGCCACTCACCATCCTGACTTGGAAATATATCGCTGTTCCTTCAGAATACCCTCCCTAAGGGCATTATGGGTCAATTTACAGCATATGGACTGCAGGTTCAAGAAGGCAGCTCACCACTCAAGGGCAACTACGGATGGGCAATAAATGCTCTGATTGTCACAACACATTAATATCCAATGAAAGAATGCAATTATAAAAATAGACTTTTGTAGAATTACGAGGAAGCAGCTTTACCGATAATACAAATTTAAGTTGCTTCGGCAGGTAAATGCAGCTTTTATATTATGGCAACAATGTACATCTATACAGTTCTACTAACATGGTGACGCTGTGTTCCAAACATCCAGCCACACAAAGAGATATTTGGACAGATAATGAGAGCTTGGTCAAAGAGGTCAGTTTTGGGAGAGCAGCTCAAAGGAGGAGACAGTGATAGGGAAATATTTGGATTTAGTGACGGCATTCCAGAGCGCTGGACCCAGGCAGCTGAAGGTGGAAAAACTGAAAATCAGGAATGCTCAGGAAGACATAAATAGCGAAGTGCAGCAAACTCTGGGGCTAAGACTGGAGGAAATCACAGACATGAGAAAATAATAATGAAGATTTTAAAACATGCTGAACTGGGGGCCAATGCCATCAGCAAGCAATTGAAAGTCAGGCATGAATGGCTAGAATAAGCTGGGGCACCAGCAGCTGAGGCATTCAAATACCTCAAATGTGTGGGTGATAGAACTAGGGAGGCTGCACAGGAGCAGACAGCAATAGTCAAATCAAAAGGTAACGAAGATATGAATGATGGCATCAGCAGATGAGTTGAGGCAAGGGTGGAAAAAGGCATTAATGAGGCATTCAAGGGGGTATTGAATGATTACTTGGTTAGAAATTTTGTGCAAGGGTATGGGTTTCAAAGCAGGAAATCAGCATTAATGATGCTCATTCGAGGGCTGTTGCATACACAGTGGGCTGAACAGCCTCCTTTTGCACCACCACAACAATTCTGTGATTCTGTGAGAATGTGATCAGATGCTCATCCCCAGGTCAAATCTAACACCCAGGTTACAGCAGTCTGGTTCAGGCTCAGACTGTCATGACGGGGAGAGAGAGGGATGGAATCAATAGCTGCTCAATCGAGTTCATAGCAGCATGAAGCTGGAGACCACAGATTTGGTCTTCCCAATGTTTTGTTGGAGGATACTTGTACTCATCAAGAACTGCATGTTAACCTCATAATTTAGTGGAGGAGAGCAGAGAGGCGATGGTAAGATAGAGCTGGGTGTTGCTTTCAGATAATGTCACCAAGGGGTAACATGTAGATGAGAAACTGGAGGCGGTCAAGGATAGATCCTTGGTAATAGAGATAATAGTGCAGGAGTGGGAAGAGAAGCCATTGCAAGTGATACTCTGTATATGATGACAGGGATAAGAATTGAACCAGGTGAGAGAAGCTGGACAATGCTGGAGAGAATGCTGAAAGATGACGACATGGTCAACTATGTTAAAGACTGCAGACAGCTTGGTAAAGATGAGGAGGCAACGTTTGCCTTTGTCACAGTCACATAGGAAGCTTTAATAAGAACCGAAAGAACTGCGGATGCTGTAAATCAGGAACTAAAACAGAAGTTGCTGGAAAAGCTCAGCAGGTCACAGAACTGTTCTGAGTAAGGGTCACTGGACCTGAAACATTAACTCTTTTTTTCTTCACAGATGCTGCCAGACTTGCTGAGCTTTTCCAGCAACTTCTGTTTTTGTTCAAGCTTTAATAAGGGCTCTACAAGATAGAAAGCTGAGAGGAGAGGATCAAACGCTGAGTTTCGGGATAGATTTAGTAGGTCACAACATCATCAAGGACTTTGGAAAGGGAGGTTGGAGAGGGGAGATGGTGATTTGCAAGGTCAGTGAGGGAGATTTTGTTATTGAGAACAGGGTGATTTGAAGAAGTGGGGGGGGACACAACATGAGGTGAGAGAATTGTAATAATATCATCTAATGTGGGATCCAGGAGGACTCATTGGGTGGTCAGGACTTTAAGGTTGAGGGGTCAGGAAGTGGGTCTTGTGGACAAGATGAGCTTGAGAAAAAAATGAGGAACGACAAGCAAAGCTAGAGAATGCCGCAAATTCATAGAACATAGAACAGTACAGCACAGTACAGGCCCTTCGGCCCACAATGTTGTGCCGAACTTTTACCCGAAACCTAAGGTCTATCTAACCTCCACCGCTACCTTATACTATCATCCATATGCCTATCTAATAGCCGCTTAAATGCCCCTAATGAGGCCGACTCCACTAGCCTCTCCGGCAATGCATTCCATGCCCTTAGCACTCTCTGAGTAAAGAACCTACCTCTGACGTCTCCCCGATATCTACCTCCTTTCACTATAAACTATGTCCCCTCGTAAAAGCTACCTCCACCCTAGGAAAAAGTCTCTGGCTGTCTACTCTATCTATACCTCTGATCATTTTGTACACCTCTATCAAGTCACCTCTCATCCTTCGTCGTTCCAAAGAGAAAAGCCCTAGATCTCTCAACCTTTCCTTGTAAGACCTTCTCTCCATTCCAGACAACATCCTGGTAAATCTCCTCTGCACCTTTTCCAACGCTTCCACATCTTTCCTGTAATGAGGTGACCAGAACTGGACACAATACTCCAGATGTGGTCAAACCAGGCTTTTGTATAGCTGGAGCATAACTTCACGGCTCTTGAACTCAATCCCTCTATTCAGGGTTAGGACAGGGCAAACCTGACAGGAAGTCGGGTCTTGGCAAGCCAGGAGAAGGCAAACAGTCAGTCTAGTCACTTGTCCCTCATTCAGTCACCTAATGTCCCTTCAATCCATCAAATCAATTCAACCCAATGGCCCCACAGCCCTGTATTTCACTCTCCCTGTGCCACTAATGGGAGAGAGCTTTTAAAATAAGCACATAGTCTTTCCACTACCTATCCATTCATCTCCAACCTGTATAAGATTCAAGGGATTCAAGATTCGATGGGGCAGTCACCCTTGGGCTAACTGAAGCCTTTTAAACAGCCAATTAATGGCTATCCCATGCCAGTTGGGAACAAACACACCCACACACACAACAGTGACTCATCCTGGTGCTGCTGGAACCACCGAGATACACAGAGATATCCTTCTCTGAGAGGGTGAAAGCACCACACTATTAATGGGCAATTGTCCATTACGTGATGACAGGGCAACAGTCCTTCCTGCTTACTGTTAATCAAGAGCGGGGCGGGGAGAAACCACACATTCCGTAAAATCCAGTCTTGTGTGGTACTGAGCTCCACATTCCCACCACTCTGGGCAAAACGGGCATCTCTCAAGTTCCCTGTTGGATTTGCTAACAGCCATCTTAATTTTACACCTTGCAGTTCTGGTGTCATCCCACAAGTGGAGGCATCTCCTGCCCTATCAAATCCCTTCCTCGTTTTAAATGACAACCGGATTACCCACAGGTCATCTATTTTTTAAGAAAAAATGACCAGCCTGTTTAGTTTTCCGTGTTTGATTCCCAGTTCTGATATTATTTTGCAAACAGGGTCAACATTCATTGGATGTTGCTGGGTAAGAGGGTTTGACATATAAAAATAGCTTGGACAGACTGGGAACTTTTTTCACTGGAGTGCAGGAGCTTGAGGGATGACCTTATTGAGGTTTATAAAATCATGAGGGGCATAGATAAGGTGAATGATAAGGGTCTTTTCGCTAGGGTAGGGGTGTTCAAAACCAGGAGGCATATTTTTAAGGTGAGAGGAGAAAGATTTAAAAAGAACACGAGGGGCAACATTTTTACAGAGTGTGGCTCGTGTGTGGAATGAATTTTCTGAGGAAGTGGTAGATGCAGGTACAGTTACAACATTTAAAAGGCATTAGGACGGGTAAATAGGAAAGGTTTGGAGGGATATGGGCCAAACGCAGGCAAGTGGAGACTGGTTTAGTGTGGGTACATGGTCAGCATGGACTGGTTGAACCAAAGAGTTTGTTCCAATGCTGAATGATTCTATGTCTCTAACTAGGAGAACCATTCAACCTCTCCAGCCTGGGATACCACCTCATTCTGTCAAGGGTTACCTTGACTTCACTGCCTGCCTTTGGTCCTGATACCAAACAAACATCTTCAAATCTCAGCAGACGTCCCCAACATTTTGGGTGACCTGTCCTAGAAACACAGAACTTGCAGCCCTTTGAGCCTGCTAAACAATTCAATAAGATGGTGTCTGATCTGGTTGTGGTCTCAAACCCGTTTTCCTGTCATTCCCCCATAATCCTTAAGTCCCTTGTACATTATATGTTATGTTAAACATGAGTCATGTTTTAACAAGATCACTTCTCATCATTCTAAGCACCAACAGGTACAGGCCCAAGCTACTCAACCTTTCCTCATGAGATAACTCTCTCAACCCAGGATGAGGTTTCTTCTTAGTCTGAAATGCAATTTACCTTATCTGGATTCCTAATTACCCCACCAAAGCTGAGAAAATGCATGAAATATACATGAAACATACAAGATTCTTAGAGGACTTGATATGGTAGATGTGGAAAGACTGTTTCCCTCTGTGGAAGAGTCTAGGTCCAGAAGGCATCATCTCAGAGTAAGGAGTAATGAATCTATGGAATTCTTTACTGCAGATTGCTGTCAATGCTTTGTCATTAAGTATATACAAGAGATAGAGAGATTTTTAATCAAGAAGGCACTCAAGGGTTATGGGAAAAAGGCAGGAAAGTGAAGTGGAAGATTACCAGATCAGACATGATCTCACTTAAATGTGGAGCAGACTCGATGGGCTGAATGGCCTACTTCTGCTCCTATGTCTTTATTGTTTTATTGATTTCCTTAAAATGTCTAACCTTAAGAAGTATAAAGCATCACCAGTATCTGTTACAATGTCAAAGACTGACCTGTTGGAAAAGCAAAAGCTGGTCAGCACTGAGTGCTGTTCCTGTGGCTCCTTCGTTATTGGGCTTGTCGGTGTTTTTGGCTGAGATGTTGTTGGGTTTTGATGCTGGAGCCAACATCAGTTCAGAGTGGTGACGCTCAGCTGATTGAGACTGAGATTGCTGCGTTTGCCGGTGATACTGGGTGGGAGCAGGAATCTGAAGCCCAAGAGCTGATGTGAACAGAGTCTGAGGGGCAAATGGAGTCTTCACAACGTTGCTATCAGGGCTGCTGGTGCTTGGCTGCTGAGTGCTCATCGCAGGTCCGAGAGGCCCAGTCTCATTGAGCACTGGTAGCTGATTTGGCAGGGGCACAGTTGGATCTGGCTGCCTTCCTGGTATTTGACCAGACAAACGTAATTGTGATCCAAAGCCAGCTTCCAGCTGACTAGGCACCTGGAAGAGTGTAGACAGAGCCGGTTGACTGGGCTGTGGTTGCAGAGCCCCAGAGAGTTTCTGCGCCACTCCTTCATTGACCATCAAACGTGAGTTTGACACTGTGTAGATCTGGCCAAGGTCACCGTGGCTGGTAATCGAATGCCCTACCACATTCTGGGCCATCAGGACGTGTGCAGGTATTGACTGCCCGCAGATTAATTGTCCCAGAGATGCCTGCACACATCCAACAGTGCGACTGGTAGCTGGCTGCCTGTGGATGGCTGGCATGGATCCACTCTGGGTGGTCAAAACAGGTCCAGATTGAACTGCTGGAAGCTGCTGGGGCATGCTGGAGCAAGCTGTGCTTGCTGCGACTCTGGTGGCCAAGTGCCCAGGCAAAGTGATTTGGCCTTGACCAGGCAGCAGTGCCTGAGGTAATGACTGGGACTGGATTACCATACCAGTGTCCTGCTGGAGAATTCGAACACTGACTGGCTTGCTCAACTTGGGTTGACCTAGCTGGGATGGTTGCTTGACCTGATTGGCGGCCATTGTCTGGGTGACTGCAGGGCCCCAAGTGGAGAGCAGGACACCAGGACCTGAGGATTGGGCAGCCGCTGGCAAGTTCTGCCTGGCTTTCTGCTGCTGCCGTGCATCTTCTGTTGGAGTCTTTGAGGCAGTCTGGACAGGAGCAGAGGTTGGAGGAAATGAAGTCTTTGGGCTTATCTGGACCAGTTTAGGTTGTATATTCACAAGGTGCTTTGGCTGAATTGGCGTGGGGCTCCTCTGAATGATGTGCGCCAACACTGGCACCTGCACCAGCTGGTTCATCGCAGTGTGTTCGACAGCAGCCGGGGCTGAGCTTGTGTGGGCAAAGAGGGAGTCTCCATTCAGACCGTTGCTGGCGATACTCTTTCGAAATGGAGCGGAGATGCCCAAAGTCGGGGAAATCGGATGCTCGGATGGAGAAGCAAGCATCAGGGAGGTGGGGCCAGGCTTGGCAAACAGTCCTGTCTGAGAAGGCTGACTGACAGGCAGCACAGTGGTCTGACCACACTGCTGGTCGACTGTGTGTACGCGCCCAACTCTGGCGGTGCCATTGGGCATGGTCTGATTGTCTGCAATTGGTTTTACGGTGACACTGCTTAGTCTGACTTGATGGACCGAGTGTTGCACGCTGATGGTTTTATTGACAAACTGAGCAGTCACTGGATGCTGAAGCAGAGGCTGCTGGGCAATCACGGTAGGGGCTAAGCTGTTGAGGTCCGTGCCTAGCACCTGGGGGCTGTCCTGGACAGGCAGGCTGGCAGGATGCGGCTGGGAGCTGGCCTGTACCTGGAACCACCCAGCTGCCAGGTCGTCTCCTCCCTGCAGAGTCTGTGGAGTGATGTTAGCCTCCTGCAGGCTCTGCTGCAGGATATCGCAGGGCTTATCAGCACTGTAGCTGGCCGGAGATCCCAGCAGATCCTCGCTCAAGAAGGAGATGTCAATGCTGCTGGCGGATGAGGGCACCTCGCTGTTGATTCCTTCTCCAGCCATTGCCACCTAAAACCAGTGAAGACAAGGTCACGTCTTGTGTCAATGGAGGCAACATTGAGAAGAAGCATTGGAGAAGCAAAGCACAGGAATAGGGCATCCCAAATGTAAAGCAAATCAAAACGTCACTCGCTCCAGATTTGTTGCACAATGAATTTTTAACTCAGACAAAACTGGGGATCAGCCTTTTGTTGTGAACTCAATGACCTATACTTCCTGTTTTCTACACCGCTTACACCCACCTCCCCCCCCCCGCCCCCGCCCACTCATCTCCATTTCTAACCAACACTGGCACCTTTTAGAACACAACTAATTTAGCAACTCTAGCTTCCAGAACTACAGGCTAAGGAGCCTTGTAGAATTTCTGCAGTGTACACATTACTGCTACTGAGTGTTGATGGTGGAGGGAATGGATGCTTATGGATGTAGTGCCAATCAAGTGGGCTGCTTTGTCCTGGATGGTGTCAAACGTCTTGTGTGTTATTGAGCTGCACCCATCTAGGCATGTGGGCAGTATTCCATCACATTCCTGACTTTTGCCTTGTGGATGGTGATCAGGCTTTGGGGAATCAAAAGGTGAGTTACTCACCACAGTATTCCTAGCATCTGAAGTGCTTTCTGTATTTATATAACTAGTCCAGTCCAGTTTTTTAGTCAATGGTGATAATGGGAGAATCAATGATGATAACACTATTGAATGTCAAGGGATGGTAGTTGGAGATGATCATTCCCTGGCACTTGTGTGGTGTGATCATTTCCTGTTTCTCCTCAGCCTAAGCCTGAATGTTATCCACGTTTGCTGCATTTGGACATAGAAACATAGAACTTTACAGCATAGAAGGAGGCCATTAGGCCCATCATGACCGTACCTGGACCCAAATTAGTTCCATTCTCCAGCCTATATTTTTCTTATTCATTCATGAGATGAAGGCGTCACTGGCTAGGCCAGCATTTACTAACCATCCCTAAATGCCCACAGGGCAGTTAAGAGTTAACTATAGTGCTGTGGGTCTGGAGTCATATAGGCCAGACCAGGTAAGGGTGGCAGTTTCGTTTCCTAAAGGACATTAGTGAACCAGATGGATTTTTCCAACGATTGACAATGAATTCATGGTCATTATTAGACTCTTCATTCCAGAGTTTTATTGAATTCAAATTCCACCATGTACATGGCAGGATTCAAACCCGAGTCCCACACTATTTGGATATCTGGATTAACAGCTGATAATACCGTTAGTCCATCGCGCCCCCGAAGGGTAATCTTCATAGCTCTCTAAATTAATCAAATATATATCCAACTCTCATTTGAAACCTCCTCTGGAATCTGCCTTCACCATTCTCCCAGGCAGCGCATTCCAAATTCTAACAACTGTCTTGAGTAAAGAAATTTCTCCTCATCTCACACCTAGCTCTCTTGCTGACAGTCTTGAAATTCTGACTCCTAGCTGCTGACATACCAACTGGTGAAAACAGAACATCCTTCTTTACCTTGTAAAAATTGGTTATAATTTTGAACACCTCAATAAAGTCATCTCTTAATCTGTTTCAAGGAGAATAAGCCCAGTTTCTCAAACACAAGAACAGAAGTTGCTGAAAAATCACAGCAGGTCTGGCAGTATCTGTACAGAGAAATCGGAGTCAACTCTGTGGGTCCAATGACCCTTCTTCAGAACTTCTCTGACCTTTCCTTGAATCTAAAATTCCTAATTCCTGCTATTATTCTAATAGATCTCCTTTGCACTCAGGGCTTTAACAGCCTTCTTTATATAAATAAGGTGTCCAGAACTGAACACGATACTCCAAATGGGGTTTGACCAATGATTTGTAGAGGTGTAGCATCACTTCCTTGCTTTTAGACTTTATGCCTCTATTTATAAACCCCAGAATCCTATACGCATTATGAACAACTGTTTCAGCTTGCGTGGCCGCCTTCAGGGAACATGAACCTCAAGGTCCCTCTGATTCTGTACTCCCCTCACAGTTGTACCATTGAGCCTGTATTGGCTGACTGTGTTTTTTCTACTAAAATACATATCTCACATTTCTCTGCATTGAAATTCATCTGCCAGGACATGGACTGCTTCATGATCTGAGGAGTCGCGAATGGTGCTGAACAGTACACAATCATCAGCGAACATCCTCACTTCTGACTTTATGATGCAGGAAAGGTCATTGGTGAAGCATTTGAAGATGGCTGAACCTAGGACACTCCCCTGACAAACTGTGGGCTCACGGCACAGTGGTTCTGTCCCCACCTCTGAGTCAGGAGCACCGGGTTCAAGTCCCACTTACTCCAGAGGGGTGTCATAAAATCTCTGAACAGGTTGATTACAAAATACCTCCCGAGAAACTCCTGCAGAGACGTCTTGGAGCTGAGATGAATGACTTCCAACAATTACAACCATCTTCTTTAGTAGTACAGATTTCAGCATCTGCAGTAATTTGTTACTTCTTTAATGCCAGGTTTGACCAAGCAGCAAAGAGGTTTCCTTCTGATTCCAAAAAGGAGACTGTGCATTTAGGCACCAACCAGCCCTGTCAACTCTGCAATTACCTGCCTACTGGAGACCTGGACTAAGATTAGGAGAGCTGTCCCACAGACTGGCCAAACAGCAGCCTTCCATAGTCGTAGTCATCCAATCATACTTTACAACTAATATTGTAGATTCTTCATCACCATTCATAGTCACAAAGTCATACAGCATGGAAAAAGATCCTTCGGTCCAACCGGTCCATGCTGAACATAATTTCAAACTAAACTAGCCCCACCTGCCTACTCCTGGCCCATATCCCTCCAAACCTTTCCTAGTCATGTACTTATCCAAATGTCTTTCAAATGTTGTAACTATACCCACACCCACCACTTCCTCAGAAAGTTCATTCCACATGTGTGTCACCCTCTGTGTAAAGAAATCTGCCTCTTATGTCTTTTTTAAATCTCTCTCCTCTCACCTTAAAAATGTGCCCCCCTAGTCTTGAAATTCCCATCCTAGGGAAAAGACAATTACCATTAGCTCTATCCAAACCTCTCATTATTATAAAATAAACTTCTATTAGGTCGCCTCTCAACCTCCTACACTCCATTTAAAAAATGTTCCAGCCTTTGTTTATAACTCTAATTTTCCATACCCGACAACATCCTGGTAAATCTCTTCTGAACCTCCTCCAGCTTGATAATATCCTTTCTATAACTGGGCTACCGGAACTGGACTCAGTATTCCAGAAGAGGCTTCACCAATGTCCTGTACAACTTCAACATGACTTCCCAACTCCTATCCTCAAAGGACTGAGCAATGAAGGTAAGTGTGCCAAACAACTTTTTAACCACCCTGTCTGTATGTGACACAAACTTCAAAGAATTATGTACCTGCACCCCCAGGTCCCTCTGTTCTACAACACTACCCAAGGCCCTACCATTAATTGTATAAGCCCTACCCTGGTTTTTTTGTACCAAAATGCAATACCTCGCATTTATCCAGACTGAACTCCACCTGCCATTTTTCAGCCCAATGACCCATTTGATCAAGATCCCTCTGTAATCTTAGTAAACTTTCTTCACTGTCTACTATGCCACCAATTTTGGTGTTGTCTGCAAACTTACTAACCATGTCTTCTATATTCTCATTCAAATCATTTTTATAAATGACAAACAAGTGGACCCAGAACCACTCCCTGTGGGACGCCGCTAGTGACAGGCCTCTAGTCTGAAAAGCAACTCTCCACCATTACTCTCTGTCTCCTGCTGTTAAGCCAATTATGCATCCAACTGGCAAGCTCACCCTGAATCCCATGTGACCTAACTCTACTAATTAGTCTACCACGCAGAACCTTGTCAAAGGCTTTCATAAAATCCAAATAAACAACATCTACTGCTCTGCTGTCATCAACCTTTTTGCTAACTTCCTCAAAAAACTCAACCAAGTTTGTGAGACATGATTTTCCTTGCACAAAACCATGCTGACTATCCCAAATCAATTTTTGCCTCTCTAAACACCCATAAATCCTATCCTTTATAATCACCTCCAACAATTTACCCACAACCAAAGTTAGACTCACAGGTCTATTGTACCCAGTTTCTCCTAGAACCTTTCTGAAACAAAGGTACAACATTAGTCACCCTCCAGCCATCAGGCAACTGTATTTATAGATGATGCAAATATTTCTGCAAGGGGTCTTGTAATTTCCTCCCTTGCTTCCCACAAACGTTCTGGGATATATTAGTTCAGATCACGGATAATTATCCACCTTTATATTCTATAAGACTTCCCGAAGGTAAGTTAATCCTTTAAAAACTTACCTCATGAATAGGCGGAGCGTATGCTGAGCAGGAGCGGACACGGGACGGCTGAGTAAGTGAGGTAATATATTTGGGCGGTTGCTTTACCTGAAACACTACCTAGGTAGTGTCTCCCATCCATCCTCCTCCTCTAACCAAAAAAAAAGGTTCTGAGCGCCAATTTGGTAAGGTTACTAGTTTTTCTTTTTTTTTTAATAGTCTGTTTGGGAATTCAGAACAGTGGGAATGGATGTTAGGGCAGTTGCATGCTCCTCCTGTAGAATGTGGGAGGTAAGGGTCGCCACTAGTGTCCCCACTGACTTCATCTGCGGGCACTGCACCCAACTCCAGCTGCTCGGAAACCGCGTTAGGGAACTGGAGCTGGATGAACTTCGGATCGTTCGGGAGGCTGTGGGGGTAATTGAGAGGAGTTACAGGGAGGTAGTCACACCTCAGGTACAGGAAAAAGGTAGATGGGTTACAGTCAGGGGACGGAAAGGGAACAGGCAGACAGTGCAGGGATCCCCTGTGGCCGTTCCCCTCAATAACAAGTATACCGTTTTGGATACTGTTGGGGGGGGACGACTTACCAGGGGTAAGCCATGGGGTACAGGTCTCTGGCACAGAGTCTGTCCCTGTTGCTCAGAAGGGAAGGGGGGGGAAGAGGAGAAGAGCATTAGTCATTGGGGACTCCATAGTTAGGGGGGCAGATAGGAAATTCTGTGGGAACGAG